GGCACTGCAAAGCCTCTCCCTTCCCTCACCCTGGGGACATAACAGAACAAAGTCCCACCCTGTCAGGGCGGCCGAGAGTGCAGAAATGCAGCCAGCAGAGCCTGCTTAATCAAATACCTCCAGAGGACAGATTTCATGCTGTTTAAGCTGACCACCAGCCACAGCCTCCAGCTTTGCCACCTCTTTGGCCACTGCACTGCAGTGCTGTTTTCCTCTGCATTTCAGCCCCCCTTTATGAAGAGTTCACACACATTCCCGAGACAGATGCCGGCAGAAAGGGTGCAAAAGCGAACAGGTTTCCAGGCATATGGTTGCCCAATGGGGAGTGCAGTCCACCAGGAAGTGCTCTTTCACTCCCTCTGCCCAGACCCTACCACCTTGCTGCCCCTTCCCCAACACACACGAATATCCTTGCAACAACAAGCCAAGCCCCACAAAGCTGTCTGTAGCCGACTCTATCCCAGCCACAATGTCAATGAGATGATTCTGCCTGTGCCAAGACAGCCTGAGGCCTCCAGCTTTGATATCTTTCCAGCGCCAGGGTGCCAATGATGGGACTGGAGACCCAGGGATGGTTCAGGTACCCAGGACACAGCACACAGCTGCTGTATCATGGGCAAGGGACCACTGTGGTACTGAGGGGCTGGTGATGCAGGGAGGTACCATTCCCATCTGTGACAGCCCCACAAGGCGTAGGTGCTGTGGTGTCCTGCCCATATGTAATCACACAACTACACATACTTGCCCTTTGCATACGTCTGAGTGCTACAACTTCTTCCCCTATTTCCTGCTTCATGCTGCCTGTGAACAGCTGCCATACTTGCCCTCCACAGGACAAGGAACTGGTTCCTACACACAGAATCTGTTCATGATGGGTTATAAAAGTAAAACAGGCACTGGGAATAGTCCCAACACCTCAATCTTTCCCCCATGAGGAACCTCCCTGAGAGAGCAGACAAATCAGGGCCACAGGTTTTAGGGTGTACCCAAAACACTCGGGGCACAGATGGGGGAGTGACTGAAAGGACAGTAGTGAGCCGTGGGTCTGTGCTGCCTGGGCTTCCCTCCCACCTGAGCCTCTGTGAAACGGGAGCAAGAGCCCTGTCAGGACATGTAGGTGACTGTACATGATGATGTCCATTTCAGCAAGCTGCTGGGTTTCCCACGAGAGCCTGGCTATGCTCTCAAGTCCCAGTGCTGCTCCAGTGCCAGGGCAGGCAAAGGCACGCCCAAGGCAGCTGCCCAGCATTTCCCCACGTACCTCGCTTCTCCTTCCTGGTCTGCACAAACTCAGAGCGCCGCAGGGCGCTGGGAGCCGTCCGTCTGTAGAAACTGTTTCGCTGCAGCACGGACCCCACTCTGTTTGGTTCCTTGGACTCCTGCTCCCAGATCTGGCTCCAGTCTGGCCGGCCTGTGCGTACCCTCGAGTGTTCTGCTGTGTCGCTGCTCCTGGCCGGCATCCTGGGCCCTGGGGCTGCTCCTTCCAGCTCCCCACAGCCGTCATAGTCCACGTCCTGCATCTTGGACTGTGTGTGGCAGACGCCTGACCCCAGGCTCATGCTACCATCTCCTGAGGGCCAGACTGCAAGACCAGGAGCTTCACAACCTCTGTCCAGAATACTGTGGTCCATGACACGGCCTTTGGGCTGCCTGAGCCACTCAATGTCTTCTTGGTCTACTTGGTCCCTGACACCTATATGCTGCCTTTCCTGCTGCCTATATGCCCCAGAGCCTCCATCCTCTCTACACCACTCTTCCCCTTCCCTATATACTTGATTGCCTCCATCCTCTCTATACTGCCTTCTCCTCTCCCTATACTCCCCAGAGTCCCTCTCCTGCCTATACAACCTTTCCTTTTCCCCATGTCTTTCATCCTCACTGTAGTCCCTTGGGTCTCTGTCCTGATACCACCTTCTCCCCTTCCTATAGTCTCCAGCGCCCCTATCCTCTCCATACTGCCCTCCCCCCTCCCTATACTGTCCAGGTACTCTGTGCCCTCTGTACTGCCCTTCTCTTACCTCAGAACTGCAGTCCCTGTATTGAACACCCTCCCTCTCATATATCCGATAGTTTCTACCCTCTGTATCCTGGTTTTTGCCTTCCCAAGCACTATCCACTCTCCTACAGTCTGCATACTGGATATCTTCCTTCCAAAAACTTGCACAGTCTCCATTCATGCTCTGTCGGTCCACGGAAACGCCTTTCCCTCTCCTATAGCCATCCCAGCTGCTGTCTGCTCTGTGGCAGCCTGGGTACTGCCTCCTCACTCTGGGTCTGTCATCGCAGCGAGCCTCACTGCTCAGCATGGCCACCCCAGCCATGTCCCCTCTCCGCACGGCACAACAGTCCTCATATTCCCAGCTGAGGTGCCGTGTCTCCTGCCTCGGATCCTCCATGCCGTGTTTCATCCTGGGATAAGTGCACGTAGTCCTGCTGGGGTGCGGCGCAGGTGCAGGTCCCTTTGCTACCCGCTCCCGCAGCCCGAGCCTGGGCTGACGCTGCTTCTCCGCTCTGCTCCGGCGCTCCTGTCCCGAGTGAAACGCAGTCGCCGCTTCCTGAAGCCAGCCAGCAAAGGTACGAAGAGGAAGAGGCGCGGGCCCAATCACTGCCGGCCCTGGCCTCCTCCACCTGCTGCCCAAAGTAATCAGTAACCAGCCCCGAGGAGGGAGGCCGGGGCTGGGCAGGCTCTTGCTGCCCAAACCGGCTCCACGGCTTTGCCAAAGCCTCTCCGCAGGCGCCTCAGAGGCAGGGAAAAGGAGGGTGTTGGAGCGTGTGGAGGCCCTGCCCCAAGACCCACGTCCTCAGGGAAGGGAAACCAATGGCATGTGAGGCCACTGGAAGCCACAGACCAGAGATGGGATACCAGATCTCCTTCCACTGCCTTCATGCTCCCGCCAGCACGGAGGCTAAGTGATGTGGTGTACCAGAGGCTGGGCTCTACTTCACACCTTGTGGGGGAAAACCGAGGCCTTTAGGCTGCCCCTGGCTCAGATCTGAAGCTGAGGCCACCCTTTTCCCAGCCCTCACCCACAGGTCCTGGGAAGAGCAGGAGAGTAGCAGCTTCCCACGTGACACAGCATTGCTGAGCAGTGCCCACACCGTGCCATGCAGCCACTGCTGCCCAGCTCCCTGCTCCAGGTGAACGGCTGGTCCACCCACTGAAAGGGACAGGCTTGAAGGGACTATCTCAGCTACAGAGACCAGTGCCAACACACAATATAAGTTTCCAGGAGGCTATAGAAACATGTGCTCCAGTGAATCCTCTTGCTGCAGAGCACAATGTATTCCCAGTTTTCCACATCAAACGCAAGGCTCCTATGAGAGAGAAACCAAGACGACCACAACACGCACTAGACAGAAAGGAGGAGAGTCTGTGGATGTCATCCACATCTCAGGTTCTTGCAACACGTGTTAGGTATGTACAGCTAATGCTCCCAGTTGGTAGAAGACAAAAATAAAAACAACTGCAGGAGGGCAAGCACTAATCCTGCCCAAGCCTAGTGAACAGCAAAACCCCCAGTGTACCAAAGAAACAACCTGCAGATTTTAAACATGTATTTAGAAAATCACACACTTTCTGCACTTCCTTTGGCTCCCCAACGGGCACACCAAGGGGCTGGGCTCCCCCAAGACTACACCTGCCCTACTTTGTTTGCTGGTCAATGCTTAGGGAAAGCTTTTCTTCCTCCAGCCTGCCTCCATGTTCCTCTAACAGTGGCAAGGCAGAGGTCACACATGTGGCATGGTGCAAACATGTTATTGATCTGCCCCACTGCACCAAAGCTGGGCTAGCAAGCCTGAGACGTTCTCTGTCCACACACAGATGTGGCAGGGGAGATGTGACAGAGCTTGGGTAGGGCACATCTTTATCAGAGGACCAGAGAGGCTACTTATAAATCCTTGGGTCTCTTGAAATGGTGAAAAATCGCCCAGAACTACTAAGAGGATAACTTGACAGGCAGGATGTCTCAGGACAGCGTTCATTCCTGCCTGAAACTTCCAGTTCCAGTAACCACCAGGGCACAGGTCCAGCAGGACCTGTCCCCTGTGAGGAGGCACTAGGACAGTGGGAGACCTTTCCCAACAAGATCCATCCCATCAGAAAATTTCCCTAGATCCAGCCTACATTTTCCTCTTCCTACCTTTAAGTTATTTCATCTAGCCTCAAATCCTCTAAGTCTCCTTCTAAGTATCCCTCTCACACACCACTGACGTGGCGGCTGTTTGTCACCCTGTTTCCCTGGTGCACCCATACCATCCTTCATTCTCACGTGTTCTGCATCAGATGAGATCCTGCAGCAAAGTGCCTGGGCTCCCCAGCACTGATTAAGCAGTGGGAGGATGGAGGCAATGAAGTCAGAGTGAGTAATCCCCAGGCAGGAGTTGGCATTTCACTCCACCTCCCGCGTGCATTGCCCACGTTTCCTGCACATCGTGGGTTTCGATAACAGAACTGCAGTGTCAGAGCTCCTGGGAGAAGCTGGGGAAGAGACTGTGGGAGATGTACGTGGTCCCGTTTTTCCACTTTGTCTACTATAATATCAAGTATAACGTAATTAACAGCACTGATCTTTATATGGCATCTTTGGGTTTCAGAGCCCAAATGTGCTGATATAAACAGGGCAAATTTCTCCTGCCTGAGTAATTTTTCTGAGCTACATAGACAAAAGTCACCTTTTCAGCTACAGACACGCCACAGTTTAAAGCTCTTTGCTGCTGTTACCAACAGCGCAGTGTCATTTTCCTGTCCTGGACTCCATGGATGGCAGGAGCACAGAGGCAGGCTTTACTTTTTGCCCACTAACCCTCTTAGGCCAGGTTCAGTGCCCTTCTGTGCATCCCCTCTGATCTGAGTGAAAAGTCCCCAAAGGTCTGTATCACCACCAGAGCAAAAACTGCAGCAAACTCAGCGCCCTGACAGGCTGAGGGCAGTCATGCCACAGACATCAACTCAGATCTCCACTCCAGGACCACCAGCAAAGCCACTCTGAAGCTGCCGCTCACTCCTCTACACCTAAAAGGGTATGAGGCAGAGAGGTTGGACGTGCAGCAGTTGTTTTTGTTTGAGAACAAGGACATACTGGGAAGAGATCAGAGGAGGGCTCCAGATGCATGGTGGGGCTGGAAGAGGAGACTAAAGAGTTGGAAGGAAAAGAGGGGGTGAGCAAATGCCAGGTCTGAGAAGTGTTCAGAGAATGTCACTGTGGTTCTCTGAAGCAAAATCATGATCATTTGTACTGCAACAACGCTTACAAAACCAACCAAAATCAGGAATTAAAGAAGGAAAGCAAAGACTGGCTCCAGCAGTGCCTGTATGAGGCAGGGGCCAGCTGTCCTCCTGAAGCACCCCCATCCCACGCCGCTGCAGACTCACCTCTCAGCTCCTGCAGCTCCACGCTGAGGCTCTCGATGTTGGAGTCACAGAAATCAAGGTTTTCCAGGGTCTCTGCTCGCACCAGCTCATCCTGCTGTTCCTCTAGCATCAGGCTTAGCTCAGTGCGGGTCTTGCCGTAAGCCTCCAGGTCTCGTTCCACCTCTCCGATCCTCGTCAGCAGAATGGAGCGGGGGGAAGCTGATCCTGCTTGCGTCAAGTCCTCACGTCCCTCCTCCACCCGCTGCTCCTGGGCACTGGGCTGAAGCTGCAGAGGTCCCACGTTTTTCCTCTGGTTGCTTGATGGAGGTCGGGGCGCAGGCCGGGAGGGCTTGACCGAGAAGGACAGTGACCTGCCTTTGGGCACCTGGCCACCCAGTGTGTGCACAGGGGTTGTTGCAAGACTGCTGGGCCGAGGAGGGGGTGGCCTCAGAGCCTTCCTCCTCTCTGGCTGCCTGGCATGCGGGGCGCATTCAGGAGACCCACGGACAATGTCCTTCTCAGAGCTGTAGTCCAAGATAGAGAAGTGGCGGGAGACCTTCTCCTGCTCAGCACCGGTACTTGACAGACTCCTCTCAAACTGCGCCAGCTGCTCTGTCAGTTTGGAGTCAAGGTCCGTGCAGCCATCCCCCTGTGCTGTGAGCGGGCAGCATTCCCCCCAGCTCCCAGACCATGTGTCCAGGCCCACATGGGTACCTCCCAAGCTGGAGGAACAAGGTTTGGACTTCTCCTGTTGACTGTCCACCCAACCATCCGTGTCCTGGGTGCTGCTCTGGCTCTCCTGGGGCTCAGAAGCTGCCCAGCTGTCAGGAGAAGAAACTGCCTGGCTCCTGCAAGGATCTGGGGGGGAGTGTGGAGCCTGCCGGGGCACAGTGGGACTGTCTTCATCATGCTCAGGCAGAGTGTGAGTTTCTGAGTTTCCTGGGGATGCTGAAACAGTCCCCCCAGGCTCCAACTCACCTGCTCGGCCAGGCCTGTTGCCCTGGTGGGGAGGCAGCTGAACAATGGGGAGAAGGCCATTGACTGTCTTTGTGTGGTCAAAGGGGAGGGATTCTGCTGTGCCTTTGGAATGTGGCCCTTCATGTCCTGTGCCAGGAAAGGCCTGACACTGTTTCAAATCTGTGCCAAGATGACCCTCTGTTCTCCCCTCCATGTGAGACAAAATGGTGTCAGGCTCAGGGTGTACAGCTGAGCCATCCTCCTTTTCCCTGTCATCTTTCCCTGGCAAAGGAAGAGCTTCGGAGCAGGTGCTTTCTGGGTCTTGATGGATGGTGACTCCACAGCTGCCTCCACCTTGGGGATCCCCAGCACCTGCCTTTTCCCTGCAAGGCTCAGAGGCTTCCACCCTCACAAATCTGTGTGGAAAGATGCCACGTTTCCCCCTCAGCTCCCCCTCCAGCCAGCCATCCTCCAGAACGCCTATGATCCGAATCCTGTCACCCACATCAAAATCCAGTTCCTTGGACTCCAGAGCTTGGAACTGATAGAGTGCCACACCATAGGTGCTCCCTGGCTCCTCCTCCTCCTTGGGGGGCATCTCCACTGTCCCATTGGTGTCACAAGTCTCTGTGGGCTCTGGATCCACTGAGGTTCCTGGTGCTCGCAGAGGAGTAAGCAGTTCCACAAAACCCTCTGGGAAGATGCCCCTGCAGCCTCTGAGCTCACCTTCAAACCAACCAGGCTCTGGAACACCAATAATGTTGATCACATCCCCTTCCCTGAAGTCCAGTTCCTCCTCCAGCTGAGCAGACAGGTCCATCAGGGCCCGGGCTTGGCCCAGTGAGTAGGCAGGCACCTCCAGAAGAGCACTTTGGGACAGCTGACGGCTCCGAACTGAAAGGCACAGCTCCCGCACACATGATGAAGGGAAAAAGCCCTTGGAACCCCAGCTGCTTCGGCCCTGGAGCCAGCTGGAGGCCAGGGACCCACCCAGGATCACCAGGTCTCCTGCAGGGAATGAGAAATACCAGTTCAAAACTGCCCTCATGATTGCTTCCCACCTCTTGTTCCTGCCCCCCTGTGTCCTTCCTGGCCGTGGGTAAGGTCTGCCACTCTGCACAGAGCACCGTGCCTGCTGGGGATGGACAAGAGCACAGAATGGAGGTAAGGCATGAAGTACCTTATCTTGCACACACTTATCTAAGATACACAGTTTGGGCTGCTAAGCTGTGAAGGTGCACCAAAGCTTTCATTTCTCCCCCAAATGCAAGTCTAAGATTTTGGGATTGGAGGGCAGTTAAAAGGCAGCTGCAAGTTTACTATGATCACACGACTCCAATATTTGGAGTTTCAAGAGTTAATGATAGATCATGAGAAACCAGTATCAGAGTGGCAGAAGCCCAAAGGAGCTTGGTGGACTTGACATGACCCATGCCATGAGGTATTAGGAAATTCCCTGTCTCTCCTGCCACTCTAGGCAGGATGCTGTGACTAGGTTCATGCTTCTGGAAGGACAGGTGAGGCCTATGAGATGCAAAGCAAAGGAAGGGAATGGAGATTACCTCTCTGCAATGACAAGCTCCCTGGCTCTTGAGATGTGAAGTCACTGGTACAAACAAACAGTTTTTCTCCCTGCTTCAAAAGGGGAATATCCACAGGTTCCACAAAGCTGCTAGGAAATTGCCCTAAAATGAAAAGCAGTTGTCAGCAATGAGTCTTTCCTGTAGCCCATCACCATTCCCACCAGCCTCCTTCCAGATTTTGGGATCTATTAATCTCTTGCTAAAGGAAAATAACCATCTACCCAGGGTGCTTTAATAGCATGGTGGAAAAGGAACGAGTTTGGGAGTCGGGAATTCCCGAGGTTTTTAAATATTTAAGAGCTAACAGCAAACAAAAAGCTTTGTGCCCTTGGCTCACTCCAGGCAACCAACAGGCTGTGTTCATCACTGGGACTGTGCCATCAGCATGGAGTCTCCGGAACAGACATACTAGGTTTTCTCTGTTTTCATTGCTTGCTTCCCAATTCAGAGTCATGGTGAAAATTAAGAGATCCAGCAGCGCTGGACCATGAGACCAGTTTCTTGTGACTGGGCACGTCCACCCGATGCTCCTCACTCTGTAAAGCTTGGCCCCTGCGTGGCCTCAGCTCAGAAGTCAGGCTACCACATTCGGGATGGCCATGTCTGTGAGTCACAGGCTCTGTCACAGCTTCAGCGCTGCTGAGCCTCCAGGGACCTTCCCCACTTTATCATCTCTGTGCTCCTATTTCACCACAGCACCCACTGCTGGATGCCTAGCTATTCTGAAGAGGCCACAGCCAGACGGGGCAGCGCACATTTGTTGGCCATCACAAGGTACCACTCAGCTACTAATTTCAGTCCCAGGGGAACAGGATGTGACAGAGCCCACTGCAAAGGCCACTAAAAATGTCATTCCTGTCTGTTATAATTTGTCGCAAGGAGATATGATGGAATATAGGCTAATAGCACTTCCAACATTCACTCTTGATGACCCAATATGGCATCCATGTTCTCCAATAAAACCTGGAGACACCATACCCTAGACACCCAGAACTTTGCACTGGCTGTTTGGCATCTGCTGTCATTAACACTGCTAGCCTCAGTGGCTTCCTTCACAGTTTTAACCAACTCTACCTCTTTTTCCATGTCTTAGTTTTCCTGCTCTGTACATGGAAACAACCTAATGCTGTTAGAAAGGAAGTCATGGAGCTACATTAATTATTCCCCACAGAGTACTGAGTATTATTATTGGTAGGCTGCAGCACCTCAGCTTCTATTCAAAAGCACTTTTTCATTCCCCTACAACTTTAGCTTAGAAAACTGGGCAGAAAACTACAACAGCTGTTCCAAGGGAAAGCAGGAAAAGAATGCAAGTGGGTTTTCAGCTAAAGGTCATTGAAAACCATTTGGTTTGACTTCAGCATGTTTCTTTATCTTTGTGCTACGACAGACATCTGTTTATTATTCCTTAATAGCTTCATCTTCTTGAGAACAAGCGCATCAGTTATGCTGGGAGACAAAACTGTGGTGAAGTAGCTACTGGTGATTTCTGCAGAAGTAATTTGTGCCCAGTGACTTCAGCAGCCGCAGGATCAGGCACATGCTCATTCAATGCCATTTATCAGCTACATGGAGCACAGGAGAGAAGTCCTCGTCTCCACCTTTGCTCCTGTCCATTTTTGTTTTAGTCAGGAGACAGCCCACGGCTCTTAGCAGAGCCCAGACTGCTGCTGCAATAGCAGCCCCATTTCCACAGCCAGGGATGAAACTTCAGTCCCACCCTCATGCTGAGGACAGAGTCAGGTTTATGCTTTGAAGTGGCCTGGTTTTCATCTCCTCGAGAGCTCATGCATCCTCTCGACATCAGTACTAAGATGAGAACGACCTGCTTAAAAAGGGACTGTGAGTCTTTCACTAAGAGCATTTTGCTGCTTCAGAAGTTTTTCTCACCCCTCCAAAAGTGTAACAGACTTGCACACTACTTCATGCACCCAGATATTGATGGCAGCTTGTGCAGGAAAATTCTTTAAAGCGGAAAGGAGGAAGTGGGGCTGAGTCAGAGGGCTCCGGGGAACACACGGACTGTATTGCTGCATCTCCCACTGACTTGACCCGACCAGGTCACTTGGATGTGGATGCATTTCCACTCTCAGTGCATCTGTTTCCTTTCTCCCCTTCCACTGCCACAGTAGGTCAGTGCATAAACTAGCCAGGAAATGGGCTGTCCCACCACAGAGGATGGAGTAACTAGTATTGTGAAGCTGTCATCTCCTTGAGAACTGACACTCCACTAATTTCTCTCAAAAAATAACAAATGAGCTGTCTGAATAGATGACATAAAGCTAGCAGGAGACTGGTGGTAAGGAACATGCACCCTCAGTCCTAAGCAAAGTCCTGTGAAAGATTTAGTAAAACATATCTGATCCTGCACAGTGCTGGCCAAGGAAAGGTGTGCTCAAAAGGATGGTTAGCTGGCACGTCTATAGGTCCAGGTACAGGCATTTCCAGCTCTTACCTGTGACACCTTCCTTCTTGCCGAGGAGCCAGAACTCATCCACCACGGCTAGCACCTCGATGACATCTCCCACGAAGAGGGGCAGCTCTTCAGACACACTGGGACAGAAATCAAAGACAGCTCGTACCACGGAGCCAGCCTCCATTGCACAGGGTCTGAGGGTGGATCAGTACCTAAGGCTGAGACACACAGGGAAGTCTGTCAGCAGCCAGAAACACCTGAAATTATCACATACACACTCAGAAAGAAAAACCCTCCCTGAACATGAGGGGCAGGAACAGTGCAGGGGTCATGTCCTGAGCTCCTTGAAACCCCTTGCTTGCCATGCTTCAGACCTTGCTGCTGCAGGAGCCAGAGGTCTCCAGCAATGTAGCCCTCATGGTCTACTAACCTGCCTTGACCAGCCCCTCTGGCTATCTCTGTGGGGACACTTGTTTATGCTGCAACGAGGGGAGAAGCAGTAAGAAAATTGGAAGTGAATTCCTGTCAGGAAGGAAGCAAGAGGAGGGGAGGAAGCTCAGCTCTTCCCTGACATGCAAGGCAGGGCCCTGAGCCTGCCAGGACTGGGTGGGCAGATAGCACCACTCATGCAGTCCCACCGTGCACACTCCGGTGGGACGGGCACATGTATCCCCCTTCCTGCGCCACTGCTCAGGGCCACAGGAACTGTGTGCTAGAGCAGTGTCACACTTCTACCCAGTGAGAGAGGAGGCACAAAGTCCACTCAGATAAATTTACCCCACCATCCTCTTCCCCACTGGCAAACTCTTCCTGCCTCTGCCTTGGCCGACACAGCCTGGGCATCCTCAGATCTCGCTGGAAACGCTCCTTCTGCCTTCTAGGTACCAGGCTCAGCCATCCCCTGGGAGGCGTCACCACAGCTCTCAGCAGAACCCAGGCTGAGATAAGGGTGCAGATCCTGTCCAAGGCTCTGGGAGCCAAGGTTGAAATCCCCCCTGGCAGAGGACCCAAAGGCAGGGAAAGACGTCCTCATCAAGGGCTACGTCCTGTACCCAGCAATATTCCCCCTTCCTCTGGAAGTGGCTGCTGAGCTGGGACACTTTCCTGTATCATCTTTGCTTTGTACCAGCAGCATCAACACAGTACACTGCACTGAGGCAGCAGCAGTCCTGCAGCTTCAGCTGCTCCTTCCCCTCTTCCCAGATCCCTCGGCAGAGGAACTGAAAGGCATGTCTGTCCAGGAACCCCAAGATTATTCCTCAATATTTGCATCTCGGACTGATCAGTGCTTCACTTCATCCTCCTGTCCCACCACAATTATGGGCACAGCATGACACTGCTGACACCTCTCAGAGGTGCTTTCAGATCCCTGCTCTCCATGACGCCAGGATGTCAGCACCCTTTCCCAGCAGCCCCCCCAAAATGGGCTGCTTTTCTCCCGTATCATGAGGAGAGTCCCTGCTCTGTCTGGTTAGAGGCAACTTCCCTGCAACGGGACCGAACCTCCTCCCCTCCCAAAGCACCTCTACGTGCATGGTGAACCGTCACCCTCCAAGCACCGCCCAGCCAGCGATACCCACCCTGTACTCAGCATGGCTTGTCAAACAGTCCTGCCCAGCTAACAGCAGAAAGAGGACGGTGACGACACACACCACCACCCGCAGCGAACACACGGAGCCCCTGGGACCCCCATGTCTCCAAACAGCCACGCACAGCCCACCTGAGCCCTGGAGAGTCAGGAAGAGGGGACGCTAACACAGGGAGGAGAAAAACATCCTCGCTGACGAGGTGCAGCCAACTTCCAGTGAGAGTGCCAGGGGGATACAGCCAGGGAAAGGCTTTTGCTGACGGGACTGCTCTGTTTATCCAGTCCGACTCACCTCCTGGGAACAAAGCGGGTTTGTACTCGCAGGAACAGCTTCCTCAGCACGTCCCTCCCCACCCCCAGTCATGCCCCTGCTGCCAGCACGCTGCGCCCCGGCCCCTCGCCACCCTCACCTCTGCCGTCCAGTCCGTCACTCCTATTGCTCTCCACTGCCTTCCCCGTAGCACGTGGGCTCCTTGGGGCACAGGCTGTCCCTTTGTCACCAGCGTTGTGCTGGCTGTACAAACAAAGAGCCCAATATCCAGCAGTCGACAGCACTTTGCCACCAAAAAGAGATGAATGGACTGGAGTGAATCAGGAACACAAAGAGCTGCAGTTCAGGGTAGCAGGAACCTACTGAGGCAGAAGGAGTAACAGTATTAAAAACATGACCATGTGGAGCAGGGAAAAAGATGGAAGAGCCATCAATTAGCTGGGAAATACTAAAGAAAATGAAGGAGCAGGTGGGGTGGCTGGGACATGCTGCTGCATGCTCTGAGGGGAAGAGGAGAGCAGCAGTGGCAGGCGCAGCAGTACCAGCCCCTTGCAGGCAGCTGGGGGCTGCCCTGCACCCTGCAGACAGGCCACCAACTGAGCTCAGGGTCCTAGGAATCCTTGCCATACTGTGAACATGCAAACTTCACAGCTGCACTGGACAAAGGGGGAAAAAATATTGCAGGCATAATTGCTGCCTCAGGGTAGTCTCTCCAGGAGCACAGTGAGATTTCCTGCATTTCTTCTGTCAAAGGTTTAATGGAAGAGTGAGCTGAGGAGTGCAAGGAATACAGCATGTGTGCTGCAGACTCAAACCCTGGCTTTGCTGCAATCACTGGGGCTGAGGATACAGCCCTCCCACTGCCTGGGGCTCAGATCCTGCCCACAAAAACAGCAGTGTCACTTCCTTAACTCACCTGTGGCTCTGGGGACACATTCATTAAAATGTACAAGATTTTCCAAAGAGACAGAAGATCAAGAGGGGCAGGCAGCGTTGCAATTTTTCCACCATGTATATATTAATTCCAGTTATAATAAAACATGCGCACTAACATATTCATATGAAAAGCATTCTCTGAGAGCCAGCCCATGAGGCAAGAAAGCATGAAGTAACTTCTGAAACTGCCAAAAAAAGAATCCCAACAGGCTCATGTTCCCTCAGCAGTACCA